GAAGAGGCAATTTTATTCTAATAGATATGAGACCGTGCACTAAGAGGCTGGCAATCTGAGCGAATTAAGAAAACTCAAAAGAGGGAATCTTTTGTAGACTGAGATGGGGGAAACAAAAGTCTTCAAAGAGGAGGTGAAAATTTAAAGAGAGTTTTGAAAATTAGTTTCCCAGGTTGGAAAAAGGAGAAAAGTAGAGTATCCCAGCCAGAAGAAAATATCATCATGGTGAAAGGAAAGGGACTAGCTATTTGAATGAAGGCTGGTAGTCTAATGTGATGTGGTTAGAGCAGCAGGTTTCAATCTTGGTTGTGATCAAAATCACCTGTTAGGCTGTTCGTGGGCTACACACTAGACCTACAGAATCATGTACTCCAGGGATACAGGGATAAGACCTACATGTGTGGGTTATTTACAAAGCCTCACAGTTATTTTGGTTTGCAGACAAAATTCTGAATGACTGGACTGGAAGACAAATACCTTAAAGAATGTGAAGTACTATGTAGATGGTGGGTCAGGGTGGATTGGAAATTTTGAATGCCAAGGTATATATTTTGGCTGTATTCTTTATTGTTTCCTAAATATGCCTAATTATAAGAATTCCAAGGATACTGGTAAAAAGTCAGCTTTCTTGACCCCACTCCAAACCTACCAAATAAGAATTGACAAGGGAGGGGCCTGGAGATTTCTCTTCCTCCTGTCCTCCCTTCCCTCCCTCTCCCTCTTTCCTTCCTTCCTTCCTTCCTTCCTTCCTTCCTTCCTTCCTTCCTTCCTTCCTTTCTTTTTTCTGTTATAAACTGCATGTTTGTGTTCCTCCCCCCACCATATTTATATGTTGAAACCCTAATCCCCAATGTAATGTTATTTGGAGATGGGGGTCTTTGAGAGATAGTGTTCATGATGGGATTAGTGCCCTCGTAAGAAGAGAGAGCTTGCTTCTCTCACTCTATGCCATGTAAGGACACAATGAGAAGATGGCCACCTGCAAACCAGCAATAGGTTTGTCACTAGGAACCAAATCTGCTAGCACCTTGATCTTGGACATTCCAGCCTCCAGAACTGTGAGAACAAATATTTGTTGTTTAAGCCAACCAGTCTATGGTAATTTATCATAGTAAATTGTTATAGCAGCCTGAGTAAAACTCTCCCTTCCTTCCTTCCTTTTTCTCTATTTTTCCCTGTCTTTCAAAAGAACTCAGGCAATTTTCATGATTACTCACATGGGAAACTTTTTGTTTTTCAGCCGGTTGGGAGTCATTTAGACTTTATAAGAGTCAGATCTTTCATAAAGATCATCCTGGTAGAAGTTCATTTCTTGAGGAAAAGGAAGATTTAAATGAGGGACAGGAAATAAAGGCTTGTTATATAATTTTGGGGCTAGCTGATTAGGGGCGACCTTAGTCTTTAGTGTGAGACTATGTCCAACACATACCTGGTGCTCAGAAATGTGTTAATGTACTGTTTTAAAGGGCATTTTAATAGGTAAAATAATGAGGATGTGGTGAGCATTTGAATATGGGGTGGGGAAGAAGAAGCACTGAGCACGATTTGGAGATTTCTAGCATGAAATGTTTGATGAGTGGTAATGCCATGCAATGAGACCTAATTGAGTGTTACTTCTTAGATTCAAACTTAAGAAAAAGACTGTTCCTTAAAAAAAAGTTATCAGCAAACGACTTTGAACACCACAGAACCTCATATAATTCCTCTCCCCTCTTTATACTTCTGTCAAGTCATAGCCATACCTCCAACACAAATCTCATACTCACACAAGTGATGTGTACTTGCATGGAATAATGGGTTGTGCATTTAAGGTCCACACTTTAGACTGGCAAAGCCAGTTTTCACACCCGTCAGATCCTCTCCCTTTTGCTCCACTCTCCTTCCTTACTCAGAGCAACTATTTTTTCCTCTATAATAGCTTTCGTACATAAAAAAGAGAGAGAGCATGGCTGACTGAAATGATGGCTGTCTGATTTTGTTATAGTGTCTGCTGGAAAATTCCGAGTGAGCAGTGTAACTTGGTGCTAGAATTTGAAACAGAAGGGCAAAACGCTAATTGAATCTAATCTTCAAATAACCAGAGCAATAAAAGAGAAATAAGGGTGGAATTTCATAGAAGTTCAATTTGAGAACTCTTGTAGCTGCTCAATTTGAGAACTCCACGTAACAATTACCTGTATATTAGCTGATCATAGGTGAGTCGATTTTTCACCTCAGTGAACATTTTTCTGGCAATAAAACAAGCGGTACTTTCTTCCTTATTACAGTAAAACTGCCACTGGGCTTCATTTAATAAGAATTAACTGTGAATAAACTACAGCATCAAATTATGTACCATGACATAACTTGGTGTGAAAAATCTAAGCAGCTGCAAGACCCCATGAAGTTAATTCAAGCTGAGCTCAGTAGAAAAACCCTTAATTACTTCCTGGAACCTGTGGATCTACTTTCAGTTCCCGGTGTCATTGGGATCACAGTTTAGATGAATTACCAGCAAATGCTCATGAAAGGCATCAGTGGGAATGCACTACAGAAATGGGGGTCAACTTTTTTTTATTCTTGGATTTGCCTCTGGCTTTTATTACTAAGCGTGTCTCTACAAATTGAGAAATCACAGCTGGATTTAGAAGAATCTAGATTTTATATTTGGAAGGAAACATATACTCATTAAGTTCTACCTCCCACAAAAAATAAGCTTCCCTCCTTTGTCATTTCTGAAAGATGGTCAGCCTCTGCTTATAACAGCTCTATGAGCAGGGCTTATTACCTCCCAAAGCAGCTTATTCTTATGATAGGACAAAGTTTCAGAAATTGTGGTCAAAATCTATCTGATTTTGGTAGTCTTTCTAGGTCTAGTTCTGTGAATGGGAATAGAGTTTCCCAAATTTGTGTGATTAATATCACCCTTTGCACTTGCTAAACCTATAAATTACCTGGCCTTTTCCCTTGGGAAATTCTGAACCAGAAAGTCTGAGTTTGGTTCTGGGAATCTGTATTTTATCACATATATCAGGTGATTATTGCTCTCAGATAAGTTTGGGAAACACTTCTCTAATCACTTCTCAGACACAAAGAATCATCTGGGGATCTTGTTAAAATGCAGATTCTGGTTTAATGAGTCTGGGATGAGACCTGAGATTCTGCATTTCTAAGGAGCTCCCAGGTGATGCCAATTCTTCTGGTAGGTGGACCACACATTGAGTCGCAAGACTCGAATAATGTCAAACATTTCTTTTTAAGATGATGGTTCTTAATATATTATTGAAGACAACAATTTCTCCTTAACTTCTATTTCTCTAATCACCAAGCTAAAAGTCTTTGATTACTTTAGTAATTTCTCATACAGTTTGGATATGCTGTGGTCTCCACACCCTTCATCACATCCTTCATCATCTTGGTTATTTTCTCCTGGCTTCACCTTGTTTTGCTAATATCTCTCTTAAAATATAATGTACACAATTCAATACAATTCTCCTAATATGCTTTGAAATTTGTGCTCAAATCATATTGATTTTGTAATCTGCCAAAATCTTTAAATCTTCCCTGCTTAAACTGCTTCTAAGCATGGTCTTTAGAAGCTGACTTAATTTCATTTTGGTGGGTATATACTGAATCTATATGTTATCTCTGTTAAGTTTCCCATTTCCTTTATTCTTTGAGAAAAATTTGAATGTTATTGTGTCACCTGTAATACTAGCTATCCCTTCCAACTTTATTTCATTTTTCCTAGTTCTTCCTTAATGTCTTTTTCAGAATGCTGAAAAAAATACAGTATTTGCTGACATGTTAATGGAGATGACTAATGTAAAGTGACAAGTTGCTGTCTTCTAGTGTGGTTTTTAAACAACTGTGACTCTACCTAAAATTACTATTATCCAGCCATTGACTTTTTATTATGGGCTCTACTGGTGTCTTAGTTTCCACAATTCTTTGTTGTGTGGGACTGCCTTGCATATTGCAGTTCATTTACCATCCCTTGACACTACTTTCTAAATGCAAATAGCACTCCCTATACCTATTTCCAAATGCCCCCAGGATACAAGACCTTCCCTGATTGAGAGCTGTTCAGCCTATATTTTACCTTCTTTCCAGTGTATATCAGAGGAGTCTTTACTCACTACTTTTCTGAAATCCAGTCTCTTTGTGTTGAACTAAGACCATTCCTGTGTAAGAGCTAAGACCATTGCCTCCACATAATTTAACTATAATTGGGACTAGCAACTGAGACCATCTGTGTCAATATGATTTAACTGTTTGCTCAGGAAATTTTTAATCAGAAAGATAAACTGGAAAATCAGTAAATAATTTCATTTTTTTGCTTGAATAAATTTTTACAGACTAAAGTACATATCTGAGTGAATGATTTGCATGACAGTTCATTTACCTAGACACACAGCTTGCTTATTAGAGCAATAGTTTGATTATCAAGATTTGCTTTAAGATCTTCAACCTGCTGTTGCAACAATTTTAAATATGTCACAAACTTTTCCCAACCCCAATTAATTTCCTTAAATTACTTTAGCTCAGACTCCAAAGACCAAAACCTTCCCTAATTTCTCCCCTTTAAGACATTATTGAAACTCTTAAGGTGGTGATCTCCCTTGCTTCAATAAGCTTAATGAACTCAGTTGGGTTAACAGTTTCTTTGGTGGTCTTGTGAGGGAGCTGACAATGTTTATTCACAAAGACTTTAAAATATTCCTAGTGGTGGGCTTTTGATATCTTGACCTATGAATCCTATGAAGATGCTGAATACTTGCTCCAAGCTTGTTAATGATTGATACATACTTTTGCCATTATTTAGGAGAAGAAAAGAAATGGAAAAAGAAAAGAAGAGGTATTGATGAAGATGATTGAAAGGAAATGATCAAGAAGAGGAGGAGTAGGTAGATGGAGAAGAAAAAGAAGACAAAATAAATAATAAAAGGAGAGGGAAAACACTATGGGAAGTATGTAACAACAAAGAGGAATGAGGAAAAAGAAAAAATATGACGAATTACCTTTTTCCTCCTTGTTCTTTTCATCATGGAAATACGTTGTGACTCCTTATTGTTCCCAGGCAGCATGATTTCAGCTACAAATATGGACAAAAAGAAGAAAGGTAATGAGAATAATCAGGGTATAGGGGACAAATACAAGGACATGACTGGTCACTTAACTCATTTTGCAGATAAGGCATACTCCTTCTTTGCAGAGATAACTCTTCCTACCCAATAATCTATTTGTTGTTGTTTTTGTTGTTTTATTGTAAAATATACATAACATAAAACTGACCGTCTTAACCATCTTTAAGTGTACAGTTCAGTGGCGTTAAATACATTCACGTTGTTGTGCAACCATCACGACCATCCATCCCCAGAACGTTTTTCATCTTCCCAAACTGAAACTCCATACACATTAAACAATAACTCTCCATTTTTCCCTCCCCCCCAGCCCCTGGAATCCACCATTCTACTTTGTGTCTCTGTGAATTTGACCACTCCAGCTACCTCAGAGAAACAGATTCATACAACGTTTGTCCTTTTGTGTTTGGCTTACTTGGCTTAGTGTAATGTCTTCAGGGTGCATCCACGTTATAGCAGGTGCCAAAACTTAATTCTTTCTTAAGGCTGAATAATAGTACAGTGTGTGTATATTTCACATTTTGTTTACCCACTGATGGACAGTCAGTGGACACTTGGCTGTTTATACTTTTCAGTTCTTATGAATAATGCTGCTATAAACATTTGTGTACCAATATCTGTTTGAGTCTCTGACTTCAATTCTTTTGGTTATATACCCAGAAGAGCAATTGCTGGTTCGTGTGGTAATTTTTGTTTTCCACAGTGGTTTTTTACATTCCCAATGTGCAAGGGTTCCAATTTCTCTACATCCCCATCAACACTTGTTATTTCCTTTTTATTATTATTTTTTATAATAGTCTTTCTAATGGGTGTGAAGTGGTTTTGATTTGAATTTTCCTAATAATTAGTGATGTTGAGCACTTTTCATGTGCTTATTAGCTATCTGTATATCTTCTTTGGAGAAATGTCTATTCAAGTCCTTTGCCCATTCCTATCCAATAATCTATTGAGCAATGCTTGGGGCTAGACCAGATTGGTACCCCCAGAATGTGACACAATGAGTTGTAATTAATATTTACTAATCTATTCTACAATTAATTGAGGTTCATTCTTTTTGACTTTTCCTAGACCACTTATGTAGTATTTTAGTTTTTGTTTCATTATAACTAATATATATCTATTTAGGTCCACACTACTGGGATCTATCCATTATCTTTTTAGAAAATTGAGATATTTACCTCTTTCTACTTCTTTTACACATTCCCCTATAATAGAGATATCTTAAAAATTATTACTAGTTATTTTTAAATAACATTTTCAAGTGTCTTAAACTCTAAAAGTGTAATCTGCCTAATGATGCCTAATTTGGATGCTTCTAACAAGTAAATTTATGCAGGTGAGTAGTGTGTGGCCCAACAGGTTTTGTTAGGAAGTCTAAATGGCATGAATAGGTACAAATAACTTGGAAAATAAAACTTTTCTAAAGAACAGTTTAGACTTTTCAATAATGTTCTATAATGCAGCATAATATTCCACTTTTGGGCCTTCTATTTTTCTGGACACAGGAGAGTCAGACATTCATTCTTTGTTGGCTTACATATACATGTTTTCACATTCTTCCTAAGCCACTGTATTGTAGAGTACCCTATTCCTTCTTACGGAACCCAGGGTGAATTCTTGTACTATGTGTGGAGAACACTGTGGTTCTTTTCATCTAAAATCTTTTATTTGCTGAATATGGAGCATAAGATAGAAGTGAAGAAATTAGTCTCAGTGGAAAACCAGTTTGTTAACCTAAGAAAACTACTTCATAAGAAGTAGAAGCCACAACTTCCCCCATTGCATGAATTTTATGCTAAACGAGCCGTTATAAAGCAACCAAGAGTGACTTTAACTGTAGGCCTGGGCTGCATTATTGACACGAGGAGCTCTTCCAAGAATGGAGAGCCAGTAACCAGATGGATGTGAGCTGGAAACAGTTTATGTGGATTTGAGAGTACAACCAAGACAAGGTGCAAGCTTAAGGTGAGGAAGGAGTGAATGGCTGTGTAAATCCAGTATCATAAAACTCAGGGACACTGGCTAAACTCAAATCTAATCTAGGTAGACATCAGTTCCAAAAAATTCTGTTCTAAACAGGGCAGGCATTTTGTGAGACCTTATGACAACAGAGGGGACATTTGTGAGAAGGATGGGGAATGACCACAAACTAAGGTCAGAGACTCAGTATTCCCAGCCTATCAGAGGGAGTTTAGTCTGTAGTTAGTCAAGTGGAGATACTGCACAGCATTGGTGTAGGTCAAAAAGTTTCAGCACGATGCTCTCACAGGCATCTGGGGTTCTGGACACCTCCAGAAACTCATTCAGCAGGCATTGATGGCAGCTGTGAACTATTTCCATATTCCACTTGCTAGGAAGGAAACTATTAATACATTTTTGACTAGTGTCCATACTAGTTGGGGTTTAGCCTGCAGGGGTGCATAAATCATTCCCCAGATGGGGTTAAATAAGCCATAACTTAATGCTGAGATATGCGGGTGATATGGGGTAGAGGTTGGAGAGTGGTAAAGAGTAGTCAGCTTCCCTCTGTGGGTATCCTGGTGGAGAGACCATCATTCCTTCCTCATAGTTTATATTTCTAGGTCTAAGAGGAACCTGTTAACAACAATCAAATATTTCTTGTCATGATTGCTACCTTGTTATAAACCAGATTATGGTCAGAGCCTTCTTTTATGGTGTTTAATTAAATTATCCCATCAACTATGTGAACTACATATTATCAGTTTTCATAGATCAATAAATATGAGGTACAGAGTGGTAAAAAACTTTCCTTCATCTGACTTCAACTTCTGTGCTTCTCTTCTACATATCTTACTTTGGAGACATTCTTTTTATATCTCCCATATCACACAAAGCATCTATATAAATTGACTTCAGAAATAACCCTTGGTAACATAGAGTAATCCAAGGTGATTAGGCAAATTAAGCACAAACCAAGGTCCTATCTTCTTACATATTGATACCTTGAGGAAAGATAATTTCTGAGACTACTTCCATAAACCTGGCCAACGATAGTAGTATATATCATTGCAAAACATGATAGCATGATGCGGTTGTATGATTCCATGTAGATCAGGAATCAGTTTTATGAAGTAATTTGTATTTTTATAAGTGCCATCCTCCTAGATGAAACAACAGCAGCAGTCATATTTTCTTAAATCATTATAGCTGCTTGTGCTGTAGTGTTTTTCATAACTTACAATAGGTCTTAATCCAGCACTAACATTTAGCAGACCATAGCAATATCTCCTCTGTGCCCTGTTTAATACAAATAGATAACTAGTGCCAAGGCAGGCCCCAGTTGCTATTGTTCAGCAGTGTTTGCTCTGCAGCAGTTTTCTGAGCTCTGCAAACACATCTTCCATCTGGCAGCTGGATATGTTTAAAATTTTTCTCTGTATAAAACCCTTAGGCAATGCCATTTCATATATTTTGCTATTCAGGCCAAGTGAATAGCCAATCAGAATCTTCTGAAGAAGCCCTAGTGATCAGTATTGTTGATGAACTACAGGAAAATTATATGCATGTATTTGAATATTCTTCACGCATTAAAAGAATCTTTGAAAAAATTCTTAAATGCAAACTGTATGCTTGTTCAAAAAATTATTTTTTATTCTTCTGCTTGTTAATGGTGCATAGTCATCCATTGCCTTTCCCAGTCTTATAGTTAAGGTATCACTTGTTACCTTGCGTCTCTAAACTCAACTGTAATCTGAGGTCAAGTTGGTTAAGTCAACCACCTCTACTTCACCATCCACCCAGTCCTGGAATTTATGTTGATTCTTGCAGGCTCAGTATGCAGTGTGCCATGGATGAAATTCCAGTCCATCTGAGCTGTCAGTGTTGCAGTATCTCCCATTCTTGGTTTCACATACCACATTGACTCATTTCACAGATGGACTCCTGCTTTGGATTTCCCCTCTACATGAAAACAGGTCTATTTGTTTTTGATATTTATACCTGCCTATCTCATTCCAGATGACTTCCCCAGAAAAAAAGCCGTGTGCTTATCTACTATAAGTGATTCAAATAGCTTTTTTTTTGACAGATAGGGCTTTAAAAGTACTGGTTTAGTTTACTAAGAATAATACAGACTTGGATGTCAAAACCTTGGCCTTTGACCCAGTTCTATCTCTAATTAATGATTTTCTTTTTAAGCAACCACCAAACTAACGCTAGATCTCAGTTTTCACATCTGTAAAATGAGGATAGTGGGCCTTCAGTGTCTGTTTGGAAGAGGCAGAAAAGTTTATCTACTCAGACACTTACCACCCAAGAATGAAAAAAACAGTCCTCCAGTGTCTGAGAAGATATTTCTCCTTAACTCTTGTACCCAGATTCATAGAGGAAATGCATCATACAGTGAAAAACCCCACAGTGTTCTCCACAGGTAGTACAAGAATTCACCCTGGGTTCCTTAAGAAGGAGTAGGGTGCTCTACAATACAATGGCTTAGGAAGAATGTGGTCTAATCCACTGCTCAGCATCCATTAGGTAATCAAAAAATATTTAGTGTATTGAATAAAGAAAATGATGTGCTGCTTTATGGGTGGTCATAACCCTTGCTGGCTCTTAATCTTTATTCTTTATTCAATAGATTAATTAATTATTCCTTGTTGCTTAATTTTCTTGAAGTTTAAACAGTTTTCTCAAAAATTAGCCTTTTTTTTTTTTAGTCATTTCCTACTATCAATATGCTTCCCTTTTCTTCAGTATCCTTTCTTTTCTTTGGCTGTCAGTCAAAGTAATCCTCTGTTCCTAATTTAACAAAAGAGAAAGTGATTATTTATAAGCACTTTCACCCCGACAGCCCTGAAAAAGAAGTCTTATAATTTCTAGTCATCTGTTTCTTAAAGCCTAAAAACATTAGTCTTAAATTCAATACTCTCACCTTCTTATCTGGCATCTGTCTCTTTCATTAGCTTAGATGCTTTTTGTTTATCTGTTTGGA